CACCATCACATATTTTGATAATTATCAGTTATAAAAATGCTGCTCCTTCCATCCTTCAATACAGAATGAAACTAGAATAGAAATATTTCTTCGAAGTATGAAGACCAAGGTGGTGTGGTCGCAGTTTCCTTTCGTTGTATAGAAGTTGTTTGACTTTATTTTCGCAAGTTGTTCATATTGGTAGGAAGGCTTAGAGGAACGCACCCAGTCCGGAGTCCATTGTATGCATGATAATTTCCAGAATCGGACCATGAACGTGGTACATTCACAGACGTTTCGCCGGCATCGTCAGTGAGTCTTCCCATTCTTAGCACCACATTACAACTTGTCAAATAGACAATCCGATTCTTTGACTATTGGTCTGCTAAACAATCGTGTTATTTCTCCTTCCACCTTGGGCTAATCACCAATCCTATATCCTCCTATCATGCCTTCATTATCACAATTTTTACTTGCTTCTTTAAATGTAGTATGGTGTGCCCTTTTGAACGGCTTTCATAAGAACCCTCACTCCCCGCTGGCTTTCTCACCCCTTTTCACCCTTGTGCTGGGAATGTTGATCAGAGTCTGCCATATTGTTAACCAATCCTCCTTCCATAGGTCATATCATAGTCTTCCTTTTGCCCCGTATGATGCGTCTTTTCTCCCCCTTGTTCAAGTATTTCACTCGACCCCTGCCACCCCATCTGTGGAACTCGAGGTGTTATTTCTCACACTCTGCCTATGGGAGTCTAACTTGAGGCTAAAGTCCCTGAGTAATTCTCATCGTCAAGCCATTGTTTCATGGATCACGTTTATGGTATAAGAGGCCTCCTATCAGCCAATTAGCTCTAATCTCCGCCGCGTCTTTCTTGTTTATATCCGTACTTTCAAGCCTATTTCTTCCTATGCCCTAATCTCTTGTGTGCCAACCCACAAATTTCATGGTACTGCTTGCTCTGATTAGGTAATTTTTGAACTACAATATTTTTGGGTTGGCATACAATATTTATATTTCTTATTTTTAAAATTTTTTGGATGACAATACTTCCCAAAGTTATGAAGATCATGATAGTATGGTCCTCGGTATGGTCGCAGTCTACTTTCGACTTACTGATAACTGTTGAACTAGCTTTTGCAACTTGGTCTTGTTGCCAAGACGACTTACTTTACCTAACATTGTCTGAAGGCCTCTGTTATAGTAGTTATCATAATTCCCAGAATCAGACCATGGATTTGGTACATTCTTAGACGTTTCGCCGTCATCGTAGTCGGCATCATCAGTAAGTCTTGCCATTCTCCTCACTGCTACAAACTCGTCAAAGAAACGTTCTGCCGAAAACGGTTACATTATCACTCCTCTTTTTGTCCTGGTCCATCTATCTACTCCTTTACCCTTTTATCAAACTCCAGCCCTATCAAAAATTCTGACTTATTTACATTCCACTAGTCAAGATGTGGGCCCTTTTGTGTGACCTTATCACACCTACTATTCATCTTGGCCTATCCCCCTCGGATTAGCCGATCGAAGGAGAGGGGGCCAATGTAAATAGCAAGTGTGATGAGGCCACACAAAATTTGCCCAAAATGGGCACATTTTGACAAGTAGAAGGTAATTGTTGAGCTTACTTTCATTTCGAGTGAAAGTGTTGGGTGAAGAGATTCTATAGTCTGCTCCACCAGAAGACGACGGCGGATTCCTCTTGACCAGCTGTCGATTGGCTTTACGGGAATATTGATGCTGACGCTGTTTCCGAGGTAATCTCCTTCGATTCCTGCGAATAAGTGCTAAGCTTTCGTCCGTCATATGACGAACATCATCAGAGAAAGGTATCATCATCACAACAAAATTCAAGCTAACGAGTTAAGAAAACTCACCGGCAAAAACAAAAAAAGGCTCATCAACAAAACCAGACGAATGTCCAACCTTGCGCAATCGAAGTGATGGTTATAATATGTATGTAGAAGGAGGGAGATAGGGGTCATCAAACCTTGATGGCCAAAAACAGACGTTCCTTTTCGCTTTCCTAATTACTTTGAGCCATCACTGCGGGTTTTTTGCATTAACGAACACAAACAGGCACATATACATACAGAAACTGACACGCTTACAGACATCGAAGTTGACATATGACCTTAAATAACCAAATCACTTTATACTTGATTAAAGAGGCCACTTTTTATGGATTTGCCGGTGAGTTTTCTTGACTCGTTAGCGTTCATGGTGGCGATGCTACCTTGCTCTGATAATGTTTGTCATATGACGGACTAAAGCTTAGCAGCTTTTCGCTGGAATCTCTCGGAAACAGCGTCAGCATGAATCTTCCAGTAAAGCCAATCTACAGCTGGTCAAGAGGAATCCGCCGTCGTCTCCTGGTGGAACCGACCTTCTAATCTCTTCACTCAATACTTTCACTCGAAATGGAAGTAAGCTCAATAATTATGAAGCAAGAGATTCCTCGAAACCCAACTTCTCTTCGCATATTTTAAGTAGAACTTAAACAAGTCAGAAGTTGTGATAGGATGGTAGTTGGATAAGAGGGTAGAGCGTTTATAGATGGGCCAGGACAGGAAGAGGAGTGATATGGTAACCGTTTTGGCAGAACGTTGATCGATTGATTGACTTCACTTGTCTCTTTGACGAGTTTGTAGCTTGGTGCGGAGAATGACAGTATTCATTGATGATGCCGGCGAAACGACTGAGAATGTTTCAAGTCCACGGTCTGATGCTGGGAATTATCATAACTACTATAGTAGAGGACTTCGGACATGGCGTTTCAACTAAGTCGCCCTGACGCCAAGGCCAAGTTTCGAAAACGAGGTCAAAAAATGCCTGACTCCGGCCTACAAATGAAATCTTGTTCCTTGTTATAAAGTACATAATTTTAATAAGATCTTATTTCTTTCGACTATACTTTCATTTTGATTGAAAGTGCTTGATGAGATTCATGGGTCAATCTCATCAAAATGGCTTTATGTCATTTTTATTTAATGAAGCTTTCGGATTGACACACTCTTCGATATATCACCCTTTGCATATGATGGAAACGTGTTGGGCTTTTCGTTTTGCAA